ATCTCCACCATGTTGTTATTAATACCACCAACATGGCCACCATATCTTTTACCATTTGCATGTTACATCATTCTGACATCTCCACCATGTTGTTATTAATACTACCAACATGGCCACCATATCTTTTACCATTTGCATGTTACATCATTCTGACATCTCCACCATGTTGTTATTAATACCACCAACATGGCCACCATATCTTTTANTGGCCACCATATCTTTTACCATTTGCATGTTACATCATTCTGACATCTCCACCATGTTGTTATTAATACCACCAACATGGCCACCATATCTTTTAAAAATGCCATGTACATCACTACAGATTATGTAAGACAGTCAATAGTAATGCTTCCCTTTATTCCTGAGTTACAATCATATTACATCATGACAGCGTACAACTTACTGCGTTTTGACTAAATCAATAAGCCCCCCCTCTCAATTAAGCCCCCTCTCTCCAATAAGCCCTCCCTCAAACTTGCCTGAAATAATTAAGCCCCCCGGGGGCTAAATAGAGGATTTACGGTATGTTAAGTTTATTACAGCTCATGTTTTTAGTCAGGCATTCCTGTAGTGATGATTGGTTAATTAGTCTGTATGCAAACACTGCTTTGCCCAGAAACTTCCTACTTTTAACTGAACTAAAATTTTCTTTGTTCAGAATATCTCCCTATATGATTGGTCAATTAGTACGGCAGTACTGTGCTGGAGGACACCTGAAACAGGCTTGGTAGGTACAACCTTGTATCAAAAAATAAAAGTGCTGATAATGATCACTGTCTTTCAATACAGTGAGAGCTGAGGCAGTAGCAAAGGTAGTGCATGGTCGTCAAACTAGATGTCCATGGTTTAATCCTCAGGATCTCCATGTCTTTTTCAACCTCTCTCTAATCTGTGTACAGTAGCTCTAGCTTTAAATACTCTTAAGACAGAACACTGGTGGAGAGAGAGAGAGGGGAAGGTAAAGTGTGCATTGTCAGCTCCTTGGAGGACCAGTTACCAGCAGAAGGAACACTGACATTAAATAAGGCCTTTACCTTTTAATTTATTGTGAGAGTTCTATACTCAGATCTGTTAGTAGGGAGTTGAGTATAAATCTCCACTTTTCGTGACCAGTAACTTCTCTAGTGCGATTGGGTAGGCAAGGGGGAGAGGGGGGGCAGGGGTAACACTCGACATACTCTCTCCATTAAGGCATTTTATACCAATTATGTGTACTCTTGATATTCTCAAAGAACTTCAGTCTTGTTTACTGTAGCTATTACTGACATTTTTGATATTTATATGAAGTAACTTACTTTCTTATTCTCTAGGAAAGCAATGGAAATGTTTGATGAATACAATTTCCACCCAACGTGAGTGATAAAAATATTTAAAATAAAACTCTCTTTACTTGTGTCTGACTAGTCATTCTACATTTAGCGCTTTCGCATTAATTGCAGACACTTTTCACTCGCACACACTACCACTACATTTGATGTTCTTGGCTGAGATTGTGATTGGCTGAGGTCTCTATACAATAGAAATTTTGCTTCTCCTGATTGGCCAAAAAATATTTTATCTCAAATTTTGTTCAAGTGGTACAAGTTAGTGTGTCTGCATAATAATGGAGTAGAGTTTTGACCATGAAATGACATGGAATGGTACGAAAATGATGACCTCCTGTTAACCAATCTCAACACATGAAATAAGTCACTAATTATTCATAATAAAAATGCTAGTACACCGTCCCAGTCATGTCTCAGCATGTCTCAGCACCTTCCATTATTATTTTTTACTTTCACAGTTGTCTGATGCTCTAAGAAACCAATTGAAAGTTTTTTGGTTCTTAACTCTTTGTGTGTTTTTCTTCAGATACGTGGCATTAATGCAACTTCTTGAATGCTGCAGCGTGAATAAAGATCGTGAACAGGCTATGGTATGCTCAACTTACAATATTATAACTAGTATACTTTCAGAAGCTAGACTGTCGGTATTTAAATTCACATTTTAAAGAATCGTTTGTGTTGAAGGTTTTGTGCGATAAAATGACCAGAAAACCTCTGTTGACCCCTCATACAACTTATATTGAGATCAAAGTCAGGGCACTGAAACAACCTCTGGGCTGATCAGTCAGGTCATGGCTAACTCACGGATCCAACCCTGAAACAACCTCTGTGCTGATCAAAGTCAGGTCACGGCTAACTTACAGATCAAACCCTGAAACAACCTCTGGGCTGATCTAAGTCAGGTCACGGCTAACTTACAGATCCAACCCTGAAACAACCTCTGGGCTGATCAAAGTCTGGGCATGGCTAAATCTCACAATGTATCAAATTTGTCTTTATTTGCAGAAAGTATTTGAGATCTTGGCCAAGTATGGCTATGTTATTTCTAAGAGAAAGCAAAGCAGTATATTTGATAATACACAGATGCCATTATCCCATAGGTAAGCTTAGGCCATGGCTAAACGGGGAAACATGTTTTTTTCGCGCACGTTTCCTCGATGTTTCCCAGTTTAGCCATATGTGAAACATTGCTGTGTGCAACAAATTTTGCTTCCAAGACGCAAAAAAAAAATTTTTTTTGCTGTGCGGCAGAAACCTTTCATGTTTTTAAGACACATGGAAACATTGTTTCCCAATGTTCCCTGACAGTTTTGCCACCTTAAGAAACATTTAGGGAAACATGTTTCCTCATTTAGCCAGGGCCTTAGAAATATGAACATATCCAGCCTCTCAGCCCCATCCACAGCCCACAGCAGAGACGGCAGAACCCCACTTTTTGTGAAATTTTAATACATTTTCACTAAACTCAGCCCCTCCACCTTGCCATACAATGTCACTATTGAGCCCCCCCCAATCAAAAAACTGCTCCGCTGTACCTGCACAGTGGAGGCACAGTAAAAACACCAAAGAGTCAATAAGCAGATTTAATTAATTCACTGTTAAGGACTTTACTGATAAAGACATTGCAAGCAACTTGAACACTTGAAGAGATTAGCCAAGGATATAATTATTATGTTGCTAGATTTGCTACCTGAGAACATTGTTTCTAAATTATTGTTAATTCAAGTTATATCTAAGAAACTTGTTGGGGGATGTAGTATTATAGGTATAGACCCCAGACCCTAACCAGCTGAGCTGTGAATTTTGTTTTTGCCAATCACAGCACATTTAGCTGTTTTGCCGCTGGCCCTTATTTCCAAGGTTCTTCTTACCCAACTTTTGTGTATTTTTCTGTTTTCTTCTGACTAAAATATGATAATTATATACATGCCTACTTGCAAGAAGGTTGTCATACGATGTTAGAACACTAGTAATTTAGTGAGAAAGGAATACATTAAAAGACAAAAGAAAAAGTTCAGCTTCAGTAATCTTCTTTTGTTTTTTAATATAATTCCTATCCCACTAAATCACTAATGTAGTTCTATTTTCGTATGACAACGTTCTTGCGAGTAGGTGTACATGCCTACAAGAAGCAGAAATATGGAAAGGAAGAATAAAAACAATTTCACTTTACTGCCATGTTTTCTTCTTTCAAGCTTAGGGCTGGTCATTTTGTCCAATCATGCTTTGCGCGCTGTGTTCACAGCTCAGCTGGGAGATGCCCATTGACAGCTTGTAGATTTTACCTCAACCTTGTGTTGTTGAATAAAGGAGCCGACAATCTCATTCCAGTAACCTTTCCATTCCATATAGAACCTCTAGAGCAGGTGCATGTTACATCATAACCGCCATCTTGGTTGACGATAACAAAGCATTCCTCATTAGCTTCTCTTATTAGATCAACCAACATGGCGGCTGTTTCATTTTATTTATATCTCAAAGGATTTTGAGTCACATGGTTGCACACACTCTATAGTCATGGTTTAATAATCACCTTGTTGTTATTTGCCATAGGTTGTACATAAATGGTTTGTTTAAAAATGCTGAGGAACTTGGTAAGTAATAATGGTGGAAAAATCTTTTTTCTTTCTTCTTTCATTCTTCCCTCCTGTCTCCCTTCCTTTTCTTTTTTGCTTCTTTAATTCATAACACTTCTTTTGAGTATTTCCTTTTTTTTATCCATTCTCATTTTTATTTCTTTACCTCCCTCCTTTCTTTGTTCCTGTCTGCCTGTCTCGATCCAAGTGTTTCTGTTTTCAAGAATTATTGTTTATATTAAGTCTTGCAAAGGATTAGAGTGCAAACAATACAACCGTGAAACTTTAGTAATACTAAATAGCACAATTTCATGCAAATTCCATTGTTTTCTATTGTTTAACTAGCACTATTTTGTACTATTTAGTATAGTGTTCCACGGATTAATTGTTTGCACTCTAGTATTACAACTTCAGTTATTATTCATACTATTTTTAACTGTTTGAATAACAGATAAGCGAAGGGCTAAATACAACATGCCAAAGCAGCCAGAAGTTTCCAAGGTACCATATAATTATTTTTTAGAAGGGTATATTGGTGTCTTTTTTAAACATGATTCTAGATTTGCCAAATTTGGCCAATTATAAAATTGCAACCAAATTATATTTCCTTATTTGTTTAGAGCTGCTTTCTTACTAAGAAACTGTAATTATGCAAATTAATTACTTCAATCATAGGATTTACACTCAAGCACTAGCTATGAAATTTCAAGTACATCTGTAGCTTGCAACTTGTAACATACCTTGCGATTTTTGTCTCACTTGTATAACTTCAGCTTAACGAATCAATGTAGTAAATATATATTCTTTATTTTGTTTGATAGAATGAAGAGATGGAGAACTTGTAAAAATTTGTCAATGGCAGCAAACAGAGGGGGGAAATGGCAGATACACACTTCAGTTAGTTTTTGATTGACAAACTCGGACAGACTGTAGAGCTATTATGTTGTGAACTTGCACAGTCATTACATGACATGAGGTGAAATATTATGACGTTCCCCAACAGGGCCCGGTAGATTTAAGGATAGAGTGGTATATCCGACAGATTTATCCAATGAATAAGTCAATGTAGTTATCCAATCAATTTCTCCACTTTTATCTGTTGAATAGACTGCTATCTGTAGACCCTTTATATGACTAGGCACAGTTGTTAATCTGTCACTGGACTGCCGCAAAAAACAGTTGCACTATGTATCTTAGCTTTTGAAAGCTAGATTGTTATTTAACAGAATAAAACAAAATTAATACAATGGTAAAGAGTTCTGAAACTGTTTAGCACTTCATATACTGTAGGGTAAAATGATTTTAGAATAGACCCCTTACAGCACTTTGGAATGCAGCTCAATCTGGGGGACAAAACGATAGGTTCCAATTATCAGGAGAATGGAATTCTTTTGGGGTCTATAGGAATAGAGAAGCAAGGTTGGTGAGTGCATTGCCTCTCAGGAGGCTCAAGGATTTTTCTTCAGGTTTCTGGTATTATTAACTCCACAAATTTCATTATACCTCTTTAGTTTGGGTGTAATGGTTTCCCATTTCCTACCATATGTCATTCATAGATGCATGATTGGTTTTGTTACTTTTTATTCATGACAAGGATTTTTATCCAAAGTTCTAATATTGTTTCAGGTGGAGATTAAATCATTGAGAACATTTTTCCTTCATTTTTAATTAGTGGTTTATTATGAGCGGTCCACAGGCAGCCCAAACAAGGTTCCTGTGTATGGTTGATAAACAGTTCTGGCGAAGTTTCAGCGTGATTTGAGATTTTATTGATGGTTTTTTTTAGAGGAGCGGATTTTGGAGAAACCCACTAAACGGCCTCAAATCGCGCTGAAACTTTTCCAGAAGACTGAACAAAGTAAAAGAAACAACTGCAGCAAGTTTTGAGGCAAATTGTTGATTGAAATATTTTATTGTCATGACTTCATCATAACTCCCATACATTCCCTCATAAACCATACACAGGAACCTTGTTTGGGCTGCCTGTGAGGGGTCATACCCAGAAATACGTCACAACTAAAAGACTCTATATGTATAATAAGGATAGAATTGAAAACATTGCCCAGGCTAAAAATAGGTTCATTTGTGCTACAAGTTACCCAATCTGCTTCCACTCAGCTAGCTCAAACATTTCCTTCAAAATTAGTTAGCTAAAATCTTGGTATAAATTTTTAAGTATTATTTACTACATTATACGTTATATACATGTACATACATTAGGGAATAATAATTATTGTAATTTCTATGGGTTATTGATAATTACACACTTCCTATTGGCCCATATCAAAATCTAGCCTGGTATTTATCACAGACTGTAAAAACAAATTGAAATGAGATCTACTAACCAAGATGGACTATAGCAATAATTGAAAGCATTTTTTCTAAGTTTTCTTGTGGATAGAGAATCTCTGGTAAACAAGGGTGGTGTTTATTGGCAGATCAAGAACAATTTCAAGGGGGTAACTGTTACCTAGAAGGGCATCGCATAGCACCCTATTTAGATCTTATTATAATCATTATTTTTATTTTACTAATGTTTTCAACTCCAAGGAGGGATAACAACTCACCCAATAGATGACTTATTAGTAGGGTAACTGAGCTCATAATAAGTGAAAAAGAAGAAATGGCATTAAAAATAAATTTCAATGTTTTGTAAGGATGTGTATGGGGAAATGTGCTGGATGGCAAGAAGTTGCCACCCAACACTTCTCCCATACAAATCCTCATAAAATGTCTGATTTTATATTTAATGCCATTTCTCCTATACTGTAGTTTGCATTATGAGCTGAAACTTTGCCCTCTTACTAATGTTGAGCTGCTCTTTTTATTTGTAAAGTTCATTTTCACACAACTGCTGGTTTTAATGGAGGTACTACAGGTCACCTGACCTGTTAGTGCAAGTTGTCTATTCACTCCCCTGGATCTGCCCTTGAGTGTAGTAATAGTTAACTTGCCTTGCCCATGGACGTAGTATTATTATGTGCTGGTTAGATTTCAATGCTATACTAGTGCTATATGTACACTGTGACCCTAGAAGGCCCCACCAGGGCTAAAATAATGTCTTGTCATTCGCTGGCCATGATTACTGGCCAAATTAGTTTTCAGCTCAATTTTCACCTTATTTGTTTCTGGATCAATGTTACTGGTCATGACCAGCAAGGCAAAGATCTGGCCAGGCAAGTATCAGTTCTGACTGAGCATTGGCTGATGACTGGCTGTTACAGTATTTACATTTGTCAACTCTACTGTAATAGGAGTATATATCAACAAATGTGCAGCAAGTTTTTACATTTCTTCAAAGAAGTCACTGTATACAACCTCCTGTGCAGATTGACAGTCCTTAACCTGGTTGAAAAAGCTGCGTAACCAGGCCTTCATCTTCCTGTCAAGTGGATATTTCTTGTTTTTGATCTTGTCAGTTAGGTAGTGCAGCCATTGGACATTAGTCGCTGGAGTAAATTTCTCCCAGTCATCTCTGAAAAACAATACATTGTAACATTAGAAGCATAAGTAAAGTACCAGTGGTAGAGAAGACATCTAACCTGCGCAACACCCATGCCTGCCATTTTGCAAGAAAAATACAGAATCAAAATGACTGCGATTTTGGATTTTCTACAAACTTGGTAGTTATGAGCTGCAAGCGGAAATTTGGTTTTTGCTGCCATCAGTCAAAAATAATTGGTACCTTTTATGTTCTTGACTGGATTCAGTGAAAAAAAAAATTTCACAACAAGCTGTTGAAAAGTCTGAGTTCACAGAATATTGAAAATTGCAGCAATTATTGTTACTTTAATCAAGTGATTATTAATTACACTTTTATTTCATTTAATGGTTGCCTGGAAATCCATAATTTCAAGAGGAAAATTGGCACCTCACTTTTGCAAATTTACAATTCTGATTGGCTAACATTTATCAGATCAGCTGCATGTGATTGGACGAGGTCCCTATGCTATTGACTGTACTCTCTCCCAATTGGCTGCAGTTTTCACAGTACAGTACATATGATGATGGGTTAAATGTAAGAGTCGGAATAATACAAGAATTAAATCAATGCGAAGGACACAAGTTTCTACTTACTCATTTATCTCTCGCATTTGACGATATATTTCAAACTGGTAATCCCCTTTACCAGTGAAGAGTGACTCATCTTCAGAAAGATTACAAAATACAGTGACATCATCTATGAGGGATATATCTTTAGTTAGTAATAGACCTATGTCAAGACCATGAGACATGAGCCATTTCAGACCATGAGTGATTCCCTAATGTATCATTAATGGTTATGCAAGACATGAATATGGATACGTGAACTTAAATGAAGGATCTGGAGAGAATGATACATGGTCTGATATGGAAAAACATAATTTAAGCTAAAAGTATAATCTTATTCATTATGAATTTAAAGGAAAAACCTGCACAAATTTACATGGTCCTTGCAAAGTGTTTGATTGGATTTCATAAAATTCCAAAAAGTAAACTTAAAAAAAAAAAATCAGCACCTTACTACATTGAATCTTGTAGATTCATTAACAGTGATTTTGTGAATTTGTACTTATGGACTTTTAAAATGCCGACATTCAAACATACTTGCCTTTTCTCAGCCGTGACAGTGTGAAATCAATAATGCTGACATGCACCCCATAACTGTTTATTTTTATTGCTTGTCCATTTAGACAATAGTTTACTTCTTGTGTGTCATTGCGAATGATTAAGACATTCCCCCAGTGTAAGTCTCGATGTTCAAATTCAAGACTGCTTTCAGCTACGGCAAGGGATAGGGTTATCTGTTGTAACACACTGATGGCTTCAGAACAGGAATTGAATTCAAAGTGTTCCAAGTCTTGTCCTCCATTAGCAAATTCAAACACTAGGAAAAACTGGTCAGAAGGGAATATATCTGTAAAGAAATCAAGATAAAGGGATGAGCCTTGCCAGATTATCAATAAATATACATGTTTACAGTAATATCATTATAGCTACACTTTCTAATAACTGCTGCAAAATATATCTTTTGGGAGAAGACCAGAATTTAAAATGACTTTCTTATTTACTTCTGAAACAGATCATATTAAATAGTTTAGGATACAAGAACTTTGCATGTCAAGTACTGAGCAATCAAAAACATGCTGTAAACCTCTTGCACTGAGTCCCGAGAGGAATTGCTCTGGGGGGGCAAAGCAATAGGCCATCTTTTCTTATGCAAAAAAATGCATTGTTTTGTCTCCCAGAACAAATTCTCAGGGACTCAGTGCAAGGTGTCTACAGACATGTGACTACAATGAGATTACCAGGTTTATCATTTTCTGATTGGTTATTTTTGTCCCATTTAATCCATTCTCTGATCAGGTGAGCTGGATACTTGTCTTGCACCAAACTAACTCTGAATTAATGAATAAAAAAACATTATCCACAACAAGTGTTAGAACATGTACCTTAAAATACAAATAATAATACAAATTGATAAAAATCCATTTTGCTATAACTTGATCAGTAACATAGATATGAGTATTGTTATTGGGCTTCCTGTGGATAACACAGATAACCCAACTGTACATTTTGAAGATATACCTGTTTACATCTATGAAATTTGGAGTTGAATTTTCYTGTAATTCTTCCTAAAATTAAATTTCAGTTATTAATTAACCAATAGTAATTTATAAAACTAAAATTGCTGTATATTTTTTCAAGCACAGCAACAGAGATGGGAATATAAATTAAAGTAAAATCATAATTCAATACTAAAATACAGAACTTACAGAATACTTCAAAGCACTCAGCTCCCTAGAAGATCAAAGAATATGAATTTAGATTTATTGACTAGAAAAAGCATTTTGATAAAATAAAATTTAAAAAATGTTAAATATTAGACATTGGATGTTGTTGTATGGTGAGTTTTGTTATGGCAATACAGAGAAAATTGAAAAAGATTTGTGAATATCAAAAAATAAATTGTTGCTTCATATATATTAGTAACTGTGCAGCTTCTGGGATATGACTGCCTTATAATGTTATATCATAATCATTTGTTAATTTTGTTTCATTCTTCAGTTGTTAATAATCAGCCATATTCCCTTGCAATTGCTTTACATTTTCATAATTATTTTAGTTCCTTTACTATTACCATTTTATCTTGTAACTAATGATGACAGAGGCACTCTGTCAAAACATACTTTTTGATAATAAATTTTGATAATAAACGATACAATATGTATTAACATATAAACTTACTTGGATATTATTATTTCAGGGAGGATTTCTTCTGAAGATTTTTGAGGCTCTCCATTTACCTCAAAGTCACCGTTTATAGGGATAATCTACAAGAAACATTCAAATTACTATAAATGTTTGCTATTAATATGGTTTTTGGCAACTTGAACAGGTCTGCAGATTTTTCTCAAATAATTGTAAATACTTATAAATTGTGTGTGTTTAATATCTATTTTTTATATTATTTTCTGTAGTTTTGAGTTTTTTTCTTCGTGTACTGACATAAAGATTATGTACACATATCGCTTTGTATTGTATTGTATTTTATCATATGACACACTCAATTTCCTTTGTATTACTAACAACCATTTTTTTGAGTGCAATTACAGAGCAATAATACACGGTCTGTGAACTGGTTTTGAATGAGTTTTTTTGCTGATGTCAGTGATTATAGCCAGACACTTGTGAAGCTGTATTTTTTCTCGCTAGAGGGCTCGAAAACATATGGCTGCTTTCACTAGTAAAATTATCCAGCTGTAATTTACAGTACTGTAACAGTGCAATAACCTTTTTTGTAATGCATTGTATTGTAAGGTGTAGGCAAGTGGTCAATTTATATGTACTGTTTTCCAAATCTCTTCATAACATAAATTACATGATATGATATGTATTTATTATGATATGTATACATATAATAAGATAAGTAATATAATACAGTATGTAATATGTGTAGTACATTGTAGTAACTGACCCTTCTTGTTAGTACTGTACAATTACCTTTAGAGCTACAGTCTGTTTGTATTTATTGATTGTCTTGAACACCTCACCATAGACACCTTCTCCAATCTTGACACATTTTTTCATCAAACTAAGGAAGAATATAATCATGGACAAAGACTGTATTAGAACCTTGATTGTACTTGATCATGTCATGGGTACCATGCAGATTACGGTATTACACAGCACTGCTAATCAAGCAGCAAAATATGGTTAATCTGATAAGCTGGAAACCTAACTTCAACATTTTTTCAATTACTATTAAAATATCAATCACTTTCGGCACAATTTTTCATTTTCGGCCTTATAGGAAAAAGCGTTTTATGAATAAAAAAAGTTTGTTATTGGTCTCAAGAATTTAACTTGAGCAGCACTGCATAATTACAGCAATGAAACAGCATCAAGTTGGCATTGTGTACCTTGGTTTAAGATATTCACTAAATTTCATAGGTGCATCCTGTTCACATTCCAGCAAGAGTTTCTGGTAGGCAGACAGTTCTATTGCAGATGGACTTATTTTTGCAGGAGTCAGCGCTTCCTATAATGATAAACCAAAAGACATTAATTAGATGTGTAGCTTGAGCCTTGTTTCTACATCATAATGCAGCTATTTCAAAATAAAGCTTGTTGAAGGTTTTGTTACATACTCTACATATTGCTTTCCAAGCTTAAGAATAAAATATGCAGACAAAGTTTGGGAAAATTCCACGTCGTTGTGACTTTTCACTGATGGTATTCACATCGCCCATAGTGCATTTTGAACTTGGTATGCAATATTCATCATCAAAAATGCGACATGAAACAAATTATTCATTAATTTTTTATGTGGTTAAATTTAAGCAAAGTTAACTGGGAGTGGAGTGCTGGCCAGCGGTGTGAGACTTGCGCATGCGCAGTTGCTGCCTAAGGCCTCGTGGTTGCTGTAGCTGAGTTGCTGTTAGCCATTGCCTTCATATCGCGGTTTTGCCCCGCCCACCCTCCTCTGGTTGGACAAGGTAAGTAGTTTACTTCCACTGTGTAAGCAGTGTGACAGGTGCCGAGGTTGACCCGTGGCTTGGTTGCCATGGTTACCTCTTGCCAGCTAGT